CGACTGTCGATCCAACAAACTAGGTAAGCACCGTGGTTTAAATGCGTGTATACAAGGACCCGTTTAGAAATACTGAGCGCGGAAACTGCTGGACAAAACAAGCGCATCCCTATTTTAATGAGAAACCGCTATAAGGTCAAATCTAAAAGGTACAGGGTCAAATAAGGAAGGGTCAAACTGAATCGTATCAAGTGCTCAAGAAACAACAATGGAAAATAAAACAAATCTAGTGGACCCTTTTTGTCAGATCATCGAGTTCTACAACATGCCAATAATTCAGAAAATTTGACGAAGGCCCATTTTTTTATAAAAAAAGTACATGGTCTTTTGACATCTTTCACAGTATGTAATAATAATTCATATTTTTACAGGTTAGGTTCTGTGAAATTTCGCTCATCATTATTTGAAGATGCCTTGTCAAATATCTAATATGAAAGATCTCGGAACTAGAGAAATTTATGTTGTGTCCATGTCATATTATAGGCTGCAAAACTTTTAAAGTATTACTATTTGAATCCGATTCATGTATCCGTTGACGTAGTTTAAATGCATTCTAAGATATATAAGTTGCATCAAGGTATATGAATGTTACAATCAACGAGGAACAACTACTAGACTAATTTTGTTTACAAAAATCGAATTGCAAACATAGTTGTCAAATTATTGTGCGAAAGTATCCTTTTTACAAGGATTGTTGATTGTTATAATTCAGTATTGACTCAACATAATGCTCAAAAATGCCCAAAAAGCTTCCAAAAATACATTATGCCAGTTATTATCAGTTTAATTTATTTTTCTCGTTACAACTATCATAGTTCAAGCTGATTTCCAGAAAAATAAGCAATTCATTTTAAAGTGTGACAGCAGTATAAAGCAAGCACCGATTCATTCATACAACGCATGCTCGCTACTAAGATAATCAAATTCGCACACACCATAACCACTCAAATTAGCAGCCGTCTCCTCCTCTCCAATGCGACAGCTCTGTCTGCGTATTAAAAAACACAGAATGATTGCAATTAATAAGGGCCTAATTGTAAATGAATGGACTTGTGTTTGCTTTTATAAAATATTTCGTGAGAATTTAAATTTTGTTGCAACAAGTTTTTGTGTCAGAGTATTTTTTATCTATCTACTATTTTATATTTATATCCTATAGTTTAAATATTTTTTTATTTTAAATTTTCCTTAGAGTAAGTTATTATTTTGTCATTTTAAAATTATTACTTATTTTTACTTATTAAATTAAAATAAATATAAAAAAGATTCTAAAAAGATTTCAGATTAATTAATTCTATTCTGTGAATTATTTAACTTGTATCGTCTTCTTCTTGTTGGCATTTGTCTTACAGAACAACAGGTACCCATCTTCCGATTGGTTGAAATTTTAAATATTTATTAGATTCACCAATGAAATGGTTTAAAATATCTGAAGAAAAATGGATAGCGACATGGTAAAGTTAAATTTTTTGGTGGTCCAAGAAGAACAGTTTCAGTGTTACTAGATATAAAATGTGAGCAGAATATGGACAATTACCACCGTCGCGTGCATTAAAGATAAATAAAAGTAAAAAAAGAATTAAGTAAAAGAATAAATGATAAAATATTGGATGGATAAGTGGACAAAAAAGAAAAGAAATTTATTTTATTCAAAGGAAAGGAAATGTATTTTTATCCTCCTTATGGAAGCAAGCTTTCAAAAACCCTTTAGCAGCACTGAATGGATCAAGGATCTAGTGCCTAAGAAAATGGGATAGAAGGAATAGTGGTAGGTATCTTAAAGACGTTACTAACTAAAAATTTTTCTATTGTTATGAGAAGACTTCTTAAAAATCTAGCAGGTCAAATGGTAGTGGGGATTAACACATTCGCTGCTTACGGCGCGGATCGGCATCTTCTGGATTCTTTGCCGAGTGCATGCGGCGCGGATTAGTGTCGTACGATTAATGATGTTTCAAGCTTTAGTACTTCCTTAGCATTGCGCCGGGGTGTTTGTTGCCGTGAGAGCACCTTAGTGAACCAATTGGGTGTTAAAATACGATTTCCGTTTTTAGTATACGGGTTGCCTAAAATCGCTAGCGTGTTTCAAAATGGACGATAATCAACTGGGTTGTTCGCGTCCAAAACGATAAAAACTAGTTGCTAGAAATAGAAATGCTTTGATAGAACGTGAAATGGAATATTTCTTGAGTCATTCGGACAGTGAAGAAGAATTTGTGAAAAGTGAGGATGACTATTGGTCTGACTCATCAGTAAGTAGTGCATCCGAAAGTGAATATAATTTTTACTGTCTTTGAGTAGGTATATTTTAAATGTTTTGTTTAGGGCACGTTGGCAATTCGGCAGACACCGGTGACAAACAAGTAAAAACAAATATAACATCCCCCACTCCCAAAAGTGAGTGTGTGCCTGAAGGAAGTGAAACTGGTATGATTTTTACTATCACCATGTCTTTGAGCAGGTATATTGTAAATGTTTCGTTTAGGGCATGTTGGTAATTCGGCAGACACCGATGACGAATAAGTAATAACACAGATAACATTCTCCACTCCAAGTGTAGATAATAACACTTAGGCTCCAAATATAAATCTATGGCAAGATGATCCTATTGACTACTTTTTTCTTATAGCAGACGAAGGGTTTTTTGAATTAATTGTCACTGAAACAAATAAATATGCCGAAGAAGTCTTTGTGGCTGGTGTTGATGAAAATTCTAGGATTACTAGATGGAAACCTCTTACAGCCTCTGAACTTCAATCGTTCATTGGATTAGTACTACATATGAGAACCTGGAAAACCAACCGGCTGCAGGACTACTGGAAGACCGATCCCCTTTTTAACATGAAATGTTTTCACGACAGTAGGAATAGATTCTTACTGGTTGTTCGCTGCCTACATTTTAATTACTTTAACAGTAAAATGCATGAAATCTATCAACCGGGAAAAAATCTTTCCCTTGACGAGTCGATAATCTTGTGGAGAGGTCGTTTAGTATTCAAACAATTTATAAAAAACAAAAGACATAAAGCTGTACGTGCTTGCAGAATTTGCTGGTATAGTGTTGAACATAAATGTGTATACCGATGCACTGCATTCTATGGGTGAAAAGGGTCACTCACAAAAAAGTTGTGCTACATCTAATGGAAAACTTCTTCCAAGCTGGTCATTCGCTGTTTATTGACAACTTTTATACAGCAGTTGATCTTGCAGAGGAACTCTTAAAAAAGAAAACATATTTTACTGGTACAGTCAACGTAAAGCGCCGAGAGATTCCTAAAGAAGTAAAGGAAGCAAATTTAAAAAAAAAAAGTGAAATCATTGGAACATATCGCCATCATTTTATGGTTGGAAAGAGGAAAGACAAACGGGATGTCTTATATCTGTCCACAGAATTTAAAAATACTGTTGTGGGCCATTTTATAATTCAGTCATGCTCTAATCCTCCAAGTCCCCCTCTGTCTTATTTGGTCTTTGAGGCTCAACTTGTCCGAGTATCCTACATAATTAAACCCCTTAAGACCAAACATATGTGACGACTATGGCGGAGGTACTTTCGCGAACATTCCTGAGTCATCGTGATAATATTTCTGGTCTATTCCGGATATGAGATGTTTTGGTGGAGGAGCATTCTAAATCACCAATTTGTATATAAACATTGGTGGAGAACCAAGCGGGAATTAATGAGTTATTATATGGACAGTGAAGATTAATAGTAAACAGTTTAAAGACATTCGAAATATATATAAATTAGAATAATAGTGTTATAAAATAAATAAGTGTTTAAATAAATTATTAATAAATAAACTGTTGTCTAAAATAAACAAACATCACAATACCATGACAGAAATAAACAACAGAAGGAGACAACAAATGTTTAAGCCTTTACCAATTTTAGAATACAACAAATATATGAGCGGGGTCGATCGCAAAGATCAGATGTTATCATATTATTATTGCGAACGTAAAACCTTAAGATGGTATAAAAAGTTGGCTATACATATTTTTCAAGTTACGTTATTGAACTCTTATTACTTGTTTACTAGGTTTTCTGAACAAAAAATGTTCCTGTACCATTTTCGATTACAAATAATCAGGAAGCTTCTAAACCTAAATAATATTGAAAATAAATAAAAAATAATAGCCAATACTTTTCAACCAAAATATTTTCGAAAAACAAAAAAGGCGAGGCACAAAGAAAAAAATGTAGGGTTTATACAGCGAAAAAAATAAGGAAAGATACTATATATGAATGCGCTACTTGTCCCGAAATACCTGGTCTTTGTTTGGGTAAATGTTTTACTTTATTTCACCAATAATATTTGTCAATTTTTTTTATTTTAGAATTGAAATTTCTGTTTATTTTTAGTTTTGTTTATGTTGTTTTATAATGTACTTTTTTTTTTTTCATTGCAACATTTTATAAAAAGTATTGTTTTTAATGTTTTATATACCTTGTTCTACATATTTTGTTCTATGATAATATAAGCATTTTTAACATTTATTTTGTTTTTATTTATGTTAAAAAAACATAAAAAGTAATTAAAATATGAATACATATAAAATAATGGTTTAACAAGATTTTTATACTAAAAAACTAAAAAAGACCATAAAAAATTGAAAGCGCGGATCCGCGTCCTTCAGCATATCTGGTAACTTTTACTAGACAGGTGCTCACGACGCGGATTCGAGCTTTTTTGACAGATGAGTTGGCATTCACAGATGGCACATAAATATGTAATTTAAGCAATATTACATTCCTTTAAAGACCATATTTAACAAAATAACACGTCAGCTTCTAACTAAGGTACATGCATATTAGTCAGCAGCGAATGTGTTAAACCCACTAATTTTCTTCCAAATACTCTAGAAGACTGTATGGAAGGCACTTGGCCAACAAACACTAGAGTAAGAAGTCAGCACAAACAATAAATACGTTTTTAAAAAACCTGAACCAAAAATATCCAAATTCACAGTTTATTCTATCAATCAATCATACTAACCTCCGGTGCTCAAAGCATTGCTACTGGCCCTCAACGACCTCGACATGTTCGGACTCTTCTGCAGATGGTCGTCAGAACTGACGTACAGTTGCTGATCGGCCGTGGTACATCTTACCAAATCAGGCATGGTCTGAATCACTTTGTCCAAGTTGGAAAGACTCGAACCGCGACGCATTTGAATACGATTCTCTACGATTTGTCTTTTAGAGTTCTTTTTTTTGATTACGCACGCAAAATGGGGCAAGATCGACGAATCCATGTTGTCGGGTCACTGCGTTGTATGCGCGAAAAACAACTCACATCACTTTTATTTAATTTTGTACGCTACGGGAAGGTTTTAAGTAATTAAAAATTAAAATTTACTTTAAAACATAATAATAAAATTCTTAAAAGGTTATCCATATCTTAAAACTGGTATGTCCTTAAAGAAAAAAAAAATTAAAGTCCTAACCAAAGAATTAATTTATTAAACAGGGGTGTAGTGTGGCTAATTTCGGTCAATGACTATCATCAGGCCTGAAAAAAAGATCTGCACTAATATATCAATATATATGACAGGATTGATGATGGTTATTGAGCAAAACTAGTCAAGCTCAAACCTTGTTCAATAAATTTATTCTGTGGTTAAGACTTGAAAATGTTTCTTCTCCAATATTATATTTGTATTTTGATTACTTTTTAATAATAAGGAATCACAATATTGAAACCGTAACTTAACTATAGGACGATAGTATCATTAAAACCTGCATATCATTCGATTATAAGTCTTGCGGGACTACTACCAGGACTATAAACCTCTTCGTACATTAAATTGATTACTAGAGCTACGATGCGTGTTGGTGATTGAATTTCTTAATACAAAGTCTTTGAAATAGCATTTAAGAAACTTGTCCTATTTCTTATCTTCAGACAACAATAGATGTTTCAACGTTCATAGGAGCCAATAGTTCTGGAAGAAATTGTTCAGGGTTGTATTGGTAGTCGTACTTTCCAAATTAATATCTGATAGTGCCGCAAATATGATACATAAAATGTGATTTAGGCATATCTAAAAATTAAGGGTGATGTGAGAGGTTAAGATTTAGTGCGTAGATAGAAAGAAAACAAAGGTCATTTATTTCTCACAAGGAGTCAAGGAGTCAATGTTAACGTACCAATAAAGTATTTTCATGTAATAACCTCGTTTTAATAGAGATATAGAGGTTACAATTTTACATGGTATTTGTCAAAGAGATTAATATAGATTTGTAATGACTAGTAACTACACAAGTTATACCATCTATTTTCCAAATTTACTTAATTTCGTCCAAATAAATAAAACTGATTTGCTTGAAAATAATCCAAAATTTCATATTGTTCTTCGGATACTACTATTTTATCTAGTATTCCATATTTTTTTATATAAAAACTGTTTTTTGCCCTAATTACTCATTCTCCACCGGAAAATCTAATTACTTTTTTGACAGAACTGCATTTTAAGCTACTCTCAACTCATTTTAAAACATTTAAATTTCAAATAACAAAAAATACTAAATATTAAATTTGATTAATTTAGAACTTCTTAATAATTTCAATTAGGAAATAATTTCAACATAAGAAATAAACCCGGCCTTGTGTAATGCAGAAGGATCTAAAAACAACTTAATGCGCATGACCAGAATTACCGTAACAAACTGCTTGTTGGTGCCAAAAGTAAATTATATTATTGGCGATATACTGCATTTATAGTATGTTAACAAAATAAAGATGGGACGCTTAATTATATTTGGACATGATGGAGATAAAATTAGTAATTGGTTTAACCACACACTTTCGATGGCAAGCATTGGATATTGCGGTCCGCGCTTGTCGACGGTGTATTATTCTATTTATGTATATTCAACAGCATTGTGTTTCTATACCATTCTTCTGGAGTCAAGATTGGAAAGTTAATGTATCGTATATTATTATTGCTAAACAGTCAAATCAGATGCAATAATAATAATATTGTACGAAGACTTATTAAACCTCAACTTTTACGAACCCTTTAAAAAAATAAAAATAAAAACTACGCCGAATTCTAGCCCTCTTACATCTGGCACGATGTCGTCTGCACCAGTTTTTCTCATCGCTCTGAAGTTTTCTTGGTTTTCTTCATACACTTTTCCCGTTCTTTTGTTAGAAACTTAATTGCCATTTCCCGAGACGGACGACAAGGAAAACTAGACAAAGAACTTTGTGTGTTGTACTAGACGACACTAATGGGAGGTTTTTTTATGTTGTGTTCCGATCAGCTTTTCTCAATTTGTGACATTGTATCGAAACGATAAATTTAACTAAATGAAAAAGTTCAATAAATTGGATAATTGGTAAGGGTATCGATTGGTTATGGAGTTTAAGAAACATCCCGAGGAATTTATATAAACGTATGTTTAATGTTTGTCTTAATAAATATACAGTTATGGCATGCACAATACAAAATAAATTTTTAACTGTTAAATTAATACGTTTAATATTATAATATAAGACTAATTACTAATTACTATTTCTGACTTGTGTTTGAATATTATAAGTATTTTTAATGATTTTATTTACTAGTTAGGGAGAGCTTAGTTAATTTTTGATATACATATAGGTATAATCCATCTAATATTTTTTAATATTTTAAATATATCCTTAAAACTATTTATATGGCATATCTTTAAAGTTTTATTAATATTTAATGATTTTTAATTTTATTTTGAACACATATTTATTTCGTTAATTCACAGCTTAATTTCATTTAAGGTTAAAAGTACATCCATTCTTTTAAGAGGAGTTTTTTTATTCCTGATAGTAGGAATGTTTCTTAATATTTGAAATAATAAAAAAAAACAGTAAAATATCGTATAGTGAGAATTGTTGTCGGATCCGACCCTGTGCTGCTAATTACAAATGGTGGCGCCCTATTATAAAGTAGGTTGTTTACAAATTTCATTGATATGGCAACTATGTGTTAATCGCAAAGTGAGATCGTTGCGCCATTACTGTGAGTGCGATTTGTCAATTTTATAGGTTATTTTTCTAGTATGATTTTTGTAATTAAACTAAATTTTTATTTGTATTTGAATGCTTTTTGGGGGTTAAAGACTTTATAAAGTAAGTAATGTCTGAAAGTATAATTCGTTCCTGCTCTAGCAATGACCGTTTGAGTAAACAATTGACTGGAATAACCTTTTATAGAATACAAATTATAAATATTGTACAGGACAGTATTATGGCCGGTTTGTATAAAATTTGTAAAAGTATGCTTTTAAAAATCCAAAAAATATCAAATTCTGGGTTACCCATCTGTATCTGTAATGTGTGGAGGGTGGGTTACCTGACGGCACTTAGGCCTCATTAGACCCATTGTGCATCTGGGTTACCCATATTGGAATAATACTTTTTCATACGAAAAAGTATTAATAGATTTTCGAAAAATTCTAAAAAATAAACCACGTGGCAGAGCTGTCAAATAATTGAATTAAAAGAGTTGAAAATGTAATTAAATTACTTTTCAATAATTGCATTACCTTAATTCAATTAGGCTTTTAAAACCTTGGAATCAATTAGTACTTAAATATTTGAGTTATTGAATTATTTTTTAAACAATTCAATTTCTTTATAGTAATTCAAGTACTTTGGAGTAATTCAATTAATTTATTGTATTTCAATTATTACAAAATATTCAATTCCCATTTAAAAATTCTAGAAAAGTCTAGTGCGTTACTGCTTTCTGTTTATTTGTGGTTGGCTTATATTATGTAGTTTTCATTAGTTTTGGCGTAACTTTTTTATTTTTGATTATATCTGTATGCATCTTGAATTATTCAATTCTTAATCAACTCCTGTAGTGCGGAAAGTTATTAAATTTAAACAAAAAATATATGTGCTTTTTTATTTAAATACGTCAGAACAATTTTTTTCATCTTAAAGGTTGTGTAAGATAAAATGGAATAATAAAATATCGATGAAATTAATATTAGGATTTCTAGATATAAAATTAAAAAATGCATTCAATTCATGCATCAGCTAGTGCCTCCTAGCAGAAATTATGTGAGACTTGCCGGTGGAATTGTCCCAACATCATTTGTAAAGTGGGTATCGTTCATGGGCGTACGGAAAAATATTGATTTTACATAGAGAAATGAGTTATTAAAAAAGGTACGAGTTTAAATTACTAGGATTATTTCAGCAAACGTTTTAAAATACATACACCAAAATCAAGTATCCTCGCGTACAAGGTGTCATACTATAAAATAATACTTTGTAGCAACTTTATAATTATTCTAGATTAAAAAGATTTCGACGTGCGACCTTATTGAACATTGTTTGTTTTTGGATCACCCTGGAGCAGGACCAAAGGAAAACTTATACGGAAAACAAGCTTCAAGAAGAGACCAACCAAACAAAATTAGAATTCTTTGAACTAGAAGATTTACCAGCTGCAACAACAAAACCTAGCAGTAATAAAAAGAAGTTGAATTGGAAATTTTGCAATGCCTTAATGATCTAAACGCAGAAATTACTGATCTAAATAATTAGGTACTCTGTCATGAGATATTAATTTTTTAAATTCAACACTTGCCTTGCTTCATCGGCCCCGGTAGGAAGGTTGTTCTCTTTAGCAGAAATTATTAATTTTCCAAGGAAACATGCTTTATCTGATCTTCACTTCGAGCAACTGGTACTTATAAAGGCAAACTCCATTAAATGTGTAAAAGACGTTTTTTTCATGCTGTTGTAAACCATGATTGATTTTGTAATATTATAATATTCTTAAGATTACCATAGGCTTCTATTAAATTGATTGATGAAAAATGTTTAATTAATTTTCGGTTATTTAATAATTTATTGGTAATTCAATTAAATGGAATAATTGAATTACTTTATAGGTATTTGACGCATATAAAGCAATTGAGTTACTAGGAAAAGCAACTGAACTATTATAATTAAACATTTTCAATTCGTTTTATGAGTAATTGATAATTGCAAGAACTTTTAAAAACTAAAGTAATTAGTAATTTGCATAGTTTTTGGTTGCCTGGTAATTGGTAATTGGTACTTCAATTTCTTTGCAATGGTAATTGAAGACAAGTGGATAAATGGTCTATGTATATTTTTTTAAATCAATTTTTCGTATAAATAAGGATCCTATATACCTACCTAAAATTACTTCTATGATATATTATCTCAAATAAAGATGTAACCAGAAGATAAAAAACCAATGTCCTGTGGTAAACTATCCAAATAAAAAAC